AACGCCCCTCTGGAGTTCAAGACGGGTGCGGGCTCCAGCGGAGTTCAGCACAGCTGGGCACCCAAACCTGGCGAGGACTATGGCAGCCACTCCTATGGCCAGTTCCCCCCTGCCTACGGCGAGCCCGGGGGCTACTACCAGGTGGGTTCACTGGCCAGAGGTGAAGTGAGGGGCTCTGGACGGGTACTTGAGTGAGTGACTCAAGTTACTGGCTGCTCCTGGGAATCCAGCCCGTGTGAGCTGCCTGGGACACAGGGCAGGGAATGCAGTCCTTGGGAGCTGCTTAGGGCAAGGGGCAGGGAATCCAGCCTGTGTGACATACCTGGGACACGGGGCAGGGAATCCAGCCTGAGCTGGATCCAGCACTGGGCACAAGTTGATTCCTATGGTGTGAGAGCTCCAGATGTTCTTCACTGAACAGATGTTTGACAGCTGCACTCCTGTGAAAATGCCCTGGGTGTGAGGGTGCAGGGTAAGGGCTCACTGGAGCTGGTGTCTGAGCCCAGGTTGTTTCTAATAATTCATAGAATCCTGGATTGGTTTGGGTTGGAAGGGACCTTAAAGCCCATCCAGTCCCAGCCACTGCCATGGACAGGGACACTTTCCACTATCCATGGTTGCTCCAAGCCCTGTCCAGCCTGGTATTGAGCACTTCAAGGGATAGGGTGGCCACAGCTTCTCTGGGCACCCTGTGCCAGGGCCTCATTGCCCTCACAGGGAAGAACTCCTTCCCAATATCCTATTTAACCCTGCCCTCCAGCAGTGGGATCCATTCCCCCTTGTCCTGTCACTCCACCCGTTGTGAAAAGTCCCTCAGATCATTTGCTGGTCATTCCTCTGACAGAATCAGCCCACAGGGCAGTCCATGGCTTGGTGCCACTCCAGGATTGCTCTCATGACAATCTGCTTTCCCTTTCCCTGCCAGGATTACTACAGCAGTGGGTACTACCCAGAGGTGGAACCAGCCCAGGCCCCGCCGCAGGAGACGAGCACCGACTCCTCGTTCATCGATGACGAAGCGGTTGGCACTTCATTGTCTGTCCCCCTGTGGAATTTGGTTTTGAGCTCTGCCAGAACACAGGAGCTGCAGCCACGGTCCTGCCCCCCAGCACAGCCTGTGTTTCCAGTGGCTTGGGCTGGGTGGTTTTTCCTGGGGGGGCTCGAGCTGTGTTGTGGACACGTATGGAGTCCTTCCCACAGTCTGCTGGGCTCCTGCTCCAGCTGGGTCTGCAGGCCTGATAAATACAGGATAGAATCAATTGTTGAGGTTGGAAAAGGCCTCCAAGACCATCAGGTGCAACCATTCCCCAGCACTGCCAAGGCCACCACTAAACCATGTCTCCAAGTGCCACATCCACATGACTTCTAAATCCTTCTGAGGGTGGGGACTTCATCACTGCCTTGGGCAGCTTGTGGGCACCCTCTGGGTGTAGGATTTTTCCCTATATCCAACCTAATCCTCCCCTGGTACAATTTGAGGCTGTCCCTGGGAGCAGAGCCCGAACTCCCCTGGGTGCCCCCTTCAGTCAGGGAGTTGTGCCAAACCACAAGGTCCCCCCTGAGCCTCCTTTTCTCCAGGCTGAGCCCCCTTAGCCTCCCCTGGTGCTCCAGCCCCTTCCCCACCTTCATTTGCTTCTCTGGACACGCTCCAGCTCCTCAATCTCTTTGTTGTCATGAGGGGCCCAAACTGACCCCAGGGTTGGAGGTGCCTCAGCAGTGCCAGCACAGGGGATGGGCACTGCCCTTGTCCTGTGGCCACACTTGGCTGGTGCAGAATGTGTTGGCAGCAAAACTTAAGGCTCTTCTGTGGGTCTTATAAAATGAGAAACTCAGGACTCCAAGGGTCTCCTGAGCAAGCCTGGAAGCAGGAGTAAATGCTGTTTTCTGCATAGGAAAGTGAGATGATAACCTTCATGCCAAGTAGTTTTAGATACTCAGATGTACAGCAAGCTAAAATTCTCCAAAAGATCAAAACCTGGGCTGGAAAACTGTTGCTGTGCCTTGTGTCAGGTCAGTGTTGGGTGTAATTCCAGCTCTTGTGTTCATCTTTCAGTTCAAGCGTCTGCAAGGCAAGCGGAATCGTGGGAGGGAAGAGATCAACTTTGTGGACATCAAAGGTGACGACCAGCTGAGCGGGGCCCAGCAGTGGCTGACCAAATCCTTGACAGAGGAGAAGACCATGAAGTCATTCAGCAAGGTGGGGTGGAGGGCGAGTGCTGTGGTTGGAGCCTCTGCTCAGTGCCCAAATCAGTGCCCAAATCAGCTGGAGCTGTGTCCAGGGAGGGGAACAGAGACCTGGTAAATAATGATGTGTGGGAGGCCAGTAGAGTTGCTCAGAACATGGCATGTGGGTGGGGAGGGCCAGCCAGGAAGTGCTTCAGCCGAAGGAATCTGCACTTTAATGGGGAACAAATGCTGCTTGGGATGGCTGTGTGCAGGCCCTTGTCTTGGTTTGCTGTCCAGGGAAGCACCTCTCCGGGCTGAACACTTCACCTCTTTCTGCTTTCCAGAAAAAAGGAGATCAGCCCACAGGGCAGCAAAGGAGAAAACACCAGATCACGTACCTGATCCATCAGGTGAGTGGCCTCCCCGTGGTGTATGAGCTGATCCAGACAGAATTCCCAGGTTTGGTCTTGGCAACGCAAGGCTGGGGTGGTGGAGCTGCTCCTCCAGCAGCGGGGGACCAGGGGCTGTCCCCGAGAACCCCCTGAGTCCTGGTGAGACCCTGTGGGCCAGAGGTGAGTCCTGGCCCTGAGGGGGTCCCAGTCCCAAGCTTTCAGCTTTGCTTTGCCCTTCCTGTGTGTTCTGAGGCCCTGGGATCCTGTCCTGGATTCTGCCCCAGGGTTGGCAGGCGGTTGCTGAGCCCGTCCCCACGAGAAGCTGCTTTTCAGCATGAATGAAATGCCTGTGCATCCCAATTAATCCAGGCCTCTGTCAGGATGATTGTGCTAACTCCTGTAACGAGGCTTCTGGCTGAAGGGCTCCATAATCCACATGAGCGGGGCCAGAGGAGGCCGGAATGCTGCTGAGTCACTGAAACAGAGGGTAACAGCATCCTCTCCATCTCTGCAGGCCAAGGAGAGAGAACTGGAACTGAAAAACACATGGTCTGAAAACAAGCTCAGCAGACGGCAGACCCAAGCCAAATACGGATTCTGACACATCTGTCCCGCTTTTTGGCTGGCATCCCGGGTGACCTGCTGTGTCCGGTGTGTCCCGGCCTCTGGGAGATCAGCCAGGCCCCAGGACAGGGCTGCTCGTGGGAGGAAGGACTCTGCACTCCCTGGCCTGACAGGAAGAGGGGTCATTGCAAGCTGGTCCCGAAACTCCACCTGTAACCCTTCCCCTCCCTCCTTGTAAACGATAGCGTGGAAGGTTCCGATCGGCCGAGGACGGTCCCAAGGCACGGCAGGGAACGTGCTGGGTGTGAGGCTCCTGTCCTGAGGGAACAGGCTGTGCCTCCTGACGCCAGACCCTTCAGCAGAGGCTCAATAAACTCCCAATTCCCACTTTGCTCCTCTCTTGGACTTGCTGTGCATTGAGAATGTCATTTTCCTTTCTAAAACACGGTGAGTTCCAAGAGCAAGCCTGGCTTTGGAATTTTTATTTTGTCCTCACAGCCGTTTCCTCGTGTCCAGGCCGCTCCAGCACTCCTCTCATGCTGATGATTTTGATATCCTGGTCTTTAAGTTGGTGTTTTTGCTCTGGGCTCCACAGCCTGAGCTGCTCTGAGGGGACACCCCTGTGCAGGTCAGAGCCTGTGCCAGGGGAAGCGCCACACCTGGAGCAGAGGCTCTCCTGCCTGGCACACTCAGGCCTTTGGGATACCCTGAGCCATGTGTGCATGTATATTGTCCTTCCTTTTCCCCCCTCTTTCCTTCTCCCCCAACCCAAGGCCTGCTGTCCTGCCCCAGGCTGCTCTCAGACTCATCAAACTGAGTATCCCAGTGTCCCTCATGTGGCTGGCTGGGAATGAGCTCTGCAGTTTCCTCTGGGCAGACACAGAGGAGAGCTGCCAACTGTACTTTTTTTTTCCAGCTTGTTTGTATCAATTCTATTTCAATTAAGTGTTGACCTTGCCCTCCTGGCTGGGAAGAGGAGACTGCCCAGTCCTAACTTCTTCAAATTAAACCTTTTTTTTTTATTTAAGGAATTCTGTCAAGGTGATGCGACTGCAAATCCTGTGTAGCTCTGCTGGCCCAATCCATGGATCCAAATCTCTGTGGCATCACTTTGTTGTTCACCAAAGTGTGTGATGCCGAAGGGAGCAGAGCACTGGCCTGGTTATTTAACTTATATTCCCACCACTCCGGGTTTTATTTGTTGTAACCACAGCTCAAATGGCCAATATTCGTTATTCCAGTAAGAAGAACTCCCAAGAGGTGTTTTTTCTCCCATGGTACCTCTTAAAAACAGGCAAACCCCCATGACTGAAGTCTTTTCTTAGAACCTTTTAAACTAATCTCATTTTTAGTTTAGCTCCCTGTATGTTTAGTACTTTGCAGAGCCTGTTTTGAGTATTTGAATGATCAGAATAAAGTTACTGTTGAGTAATTTATTCATATCTTGTATGTACAGTGAAATCCTCCCAGAAGAGATTTGGTAAAGGAATATAGTTCTAAATGAACCCACCCAGCCCTGTTTCCATCACAAGGGGCTCAGATCCTCATCCAGGTACCCTCTTGGCCTGGGGAGTTTGCAGTGTGGGGGCTGGAAGTTTGAGGTTCCCCTTTCCATTTCTCACTTGCTTTAGCCCAGGTTTAGCATCAAGGGGGAATTCCAAGAGCTCATGTTCCACTTTCAGCCTTCTAAGAGAAATAAAATTCAGGTTTGTGAAAAGTCAGAAGTGAATTTTCCCAGAGATAAAACAGCTACAATGCCCCAGCTCTCCTTTTCCCTCCAAGCTGGGGCTTTGGCCATCCTGGCTGCCCGCTCCTCTTGAGCTGGGAGCACCACTGACACTGCCCAGCAGGGCTTGGAGTGTTGGCTCCAGGCTGGGGAGCTTCAGCTTGGCCCTGGCTGCAGCATCACCCCAGTTCCTGGCCAGTTTAATTTCCAACTGGATGCGCCAACTGTGCCAAACTCATGCCTGTGTTTCCTGTAACAGCCTTTTTCCCCTTATTTTATTAACAGAAGTCTCTTGGAATGTGTTCATGGGTAAGGTAACCCTGCTCCCCTCCCTGCATTGTCAAACAGGGTTGGGAAGCTGGAAGAGAAGAGACTCCCCATGGAGCAGATTGGCATCGCTGGCTGGGGCCAACAGCAGCTCTGGACCTCTCCTCCCAGGGCCAGGGGCTTTGAGTGGTGAGATGGAGGCTGAGGTTGCCTCTGCCTGGGAGCCAGGTGATGTCCTGAGCCCACCTGTGCAGGTGGCTTAGGGGCAGTCCCCAGGCAGCTGCTCGTACACGTTCTCAGCCGTGGCCGTGGTTTGCTGCTCCCTGTGGCTGCTCTGGCTGTACACGGCATCATCCAACTCCAGCTCAGGGTTCAGAATGACCTAGGGAATTCTCAGGGAGAGGGTGGATTTGAGAGCCAGGAAGTAGAACAAAGTTGGTCTGGAGTGATGGGACAAGGGGGAATGGCTTCCCACTGCCACAGGGCAGGGTTAGATGGGATATGGGGCAGGAATTCTTGTCTGTGAGGGTGGGGGGGCCCTGGCACAGGGTGCCCAGAGAAGCTGTGGTTGCCCCATCCCTGGAAGTGCTCCAGGCTAGGTTGGACAGGGCTTGGAGCAACCTGGGATTATGGAAGGTGTCCCTGCCCATGGTAGGGCGTGGAACGGGATGGGTCTCTTTCCAACCTGAACCATTCCAGGTTTCCAAGCTTCTCCCTGTGCTCCTGGTGTGGAGCAAACTCTGACTCCGCAGGCTCCAGGAGTCCTCCCTCATGTTGGGGCTGATCTCTAGAGCAATGGCCTGCCTTGGAGACCCACCTGTGTGCCTGTGCTGGGAGCCACCGACAGCTGTCTCCTCTTGCTGTCCTGGCTGGAAACGCTGCGGAAGAGCCGGCGGTGGGGCCGGGGTTTGGAGGGCAGAGTGGAGAAGGTGTTTTGGAGTGCCACGGGGAGCCGAGCAGGCACATCCTGCCGGGCCAGCGCCACCTCGGAGTAGATGTTCTCCCTGGGGCTGGCACGGGGGCTCCAGCCCCGGGCCATGGCATAGAAGGGGATGGGCTCCTCGGGGATGGGCTCCTCGGGGATGGGCCCCTCCGGGATGAGCTCCTCCGGGATGGGCCCCTCGGGCTCGCAGCGGGTGGGGGTGCTGGGGGCGATGTCCTCGCGGGGCTCGGCGTAGACGTGGAAACGCATGAGCTGCTGGTACTTGGGCTCGGGGCTCGGGGCTTCTTTACGCACCTGGGCATAGGGAGCCTCGGGCTCTGCTGAGCTGCTGGAGGAGCTGCACAGCCCCCGAGCAGCGCCCCGGGAGCTGCTCTTGGGAGGGAGCGGCGGCGGGGCTCTGGGAGCCTGCGGGAGAGATGGGACAGGACGGAGCTGAGGACTGGGAGTGGGTCCGTGGTGGCTTTGACTGCGGCCCCCCGCCTTGGGCGACCTGCGGCTCTTTCCTCGGGAGCTCCTCGGGAATTCTCTCTGCCCCATTACCTCCCTAGCGGAGCCGCCCTCGGCTCTGAGGGACTCCAGGGACGCAGGGCTGTACTCGGGGAGCTTTGCTGGTGCTTGGCTCAGTGGGGAATGTGCAGCATCGCTGCCAGCTGGGCGCTCTGTCCGTCCCCGGGGCTCGTCCTGCAGGGAGAGAGCAGGGAGATGTCGGGACGGCTGCGCGCTCAGGGCAGACCCAGCCGGGCGCTGGCCACAGCTCGGCTCCTTGCTCGTGGTAGCCAGGGTGGCTGCGGTTCCCAGCCCGGCTTTCGCGGTGCTTGTGCTTCGCTTGGCTGTATTCCCCAGTTTGGGGCGATCACCCGGTCCCGAGTGGCTGCAGGGGCTCTCAGGGGCCGGACCTCACCCGTCCGCACGGCAGGGGCACGGTGAGGAACTCGGGGTACGGCGAGACGGGGACCGTGGCGTGGTGCCGCAGCAGCTCGGCCAGCTCGGGGTGGGCGCTGCGCTCCCCCAGGATCGCGTATCGCCCGTCCGGCAGCTGCTCCAGGACAAAGTGCCGGCAGCGATCCCTGCCCCTGGCGGCAGAGGGGATGGGATGGGCAGAGTGACCGGGAGGGGACCGAGCTCGTCGGCCCCTCCCTCGGACAGGGCTGGGTCCCTCACCTGTAGGAGAGGACGAAGCCGATGGTGCTCTCGCTGAAGCGGACCAGGAAGCAGCCCAGGGGCTGATCCTGCAGCAACTCCTCTGCCTCCCTGTGGGAAGGGACGCTGAGCCTTTCTACCTCATCCCCTTCGTGTGATCCAGGGATGCAGCTCCCTGTTTAGGAGCCCAAGGGTGGGGATATTGACCCCGCTCCCTCGCTTACCTGCGGCTGATGAAGCCGTGGAACCAGGTGGGGAGCTCCCCCTCGGGCCCCAGCCTCTGGGCTTGTGTCTGCTCAAACCACAGCCTCGTCCGGGCACGCAGGGCCCCCCGCTCTGGCCACGGGTCCCCCTCAGGCAGGGACTGAGCTGCTGGAGGTGCCCAGAAGCCTGGAGGGACCTGGAGGGAAAGGGACAGCACTGGGAGCTCAGGTGAGGACGTGCACCAAGGATGTTCTGCTCCCGGCACGTGAGGACACAGCTCCTGAGAGCTTTGTGGGTGCTGGGATGGTGAGCTGTGCTCAATTCCACCCTCGTGTCCCCAGGTCCTACCCTGCCATGTCTGTTATGGTGTCTCGGTGATTGTTCTGCCCCATGGAGCTGCATGGGGGGTGTGTTGGGTGCTGGCTCAGCTCTGGCCCTGTTGTCCTCACCAGAGGGCTTGAAGGTGGTGAAGAGGGGACGGTCGTCGTCCATGGGGTCCCCTGTCCCAGGGAGGAAAAGCTCAGGGCAGGGAGGCCTCCTTTGGGGCCCCTCACTGCCTGCAGAGCACTGGGGAGTCTGGGGGCTCCAAGACACCCCCACAGGCCCTGCTCTCATCAACAACCTGGGTAAGCATCACCTTCACGTTGTGCTCCCCAAGCTGAGGCTCATCACCCTGATTCTCCCCAGAGAGACCACCCTGCACCTGCTGGATGGGAGGGACAGTGACCTTGGCACCCCAGAGGAGGAAAGCCCTGGGGACAGTGATGTAGGTGGGGAGGAGCTGAGGAGAAAGCATGTGAATCCTCCAGCCCCTCTCAAGTCCCCGGTGTGTCGGGTCAGCCCTGGGTAGGGAGAGGCTGAGCAGCTCCTGAGGGACCTTGAGATTGACCCTGAGCTGCCAACACCCGGCAAAACAACATTAATCCCCAGCAGATGCTTGAGGGGGTGGAAGATGCTGGGGCTGGTTGGATCTGGGAGGCAAAGCTGAGTCAGAGGAGTCAGTTGAGGCTTGTCTGAGAGCAAGGGGATCCAGCCACCAGGAAAAGCACCCCAGCTCCACCTTTAACCCACGGCAGTGCCCAGCCTGGCCCTGCGCCCCAGCAGGCAGGGGAAGGTGAGGAGGAGAAACAAAACACCCCAAACTGCAGTGACCCAACTCAGGGAGTGCTGAGGAGGAGAGTTTGTGTCAGGTCCTGCCCAGGCACAGCCCACAGTGCCACTGTCCCGAGCTTGCCATGCACCCCCAGCTGGGTGGGGGGCTGTGGTGGGCTCATCCCCACTCCCCCATCCCAGCACCTTGACCTCACTGGGGCAGCTCGGGGGGGGGGGGGGGGG